CCTGTGAAATGGCCATTCGACCCCCAAAGGGGTCGCAACCCCCAGGTTGAGAACCGCTGTTCTAGCTTTTGCTAGATGGTTGCTTAAAGTGACATGAGGTTGTTGTGTACATCTATTTTTGAATTTCTTTAGCTTGAGCATCAAAGTATCTTAGAATGACAGCTAATCTTCTGGGTCAGCTTTCATCATATTTATTTTTTTTTGTGTTTGAGATAAGCCTGGTATCTTGGTATTTATTTAGCAAGTGCCGCCTCTGGTATTAATAGATATTATGCAAACCATTGTGTCATCTTTGTGAGTGGTAAATTTGTTGCTTTTTGTTGTTTTTTCTTTTTACAGCCGAGTTCTAATTTCTACAGACGTTTGGGCAAGGGGTTTGGATGTTCCTCAGGTGTCTCTGATTATTAACTATGATTTGCCCAACAACAGAGAATTGTATATACACAGGTAGGCATACATGTATATTTCAAGGGAAAAAATGCTTAGTTTTTTAAAATCATTTTTCTAAAATGTATTCATAAAATGTTAAATGTTTGAATAATAAAATTATTATCTGAAATGAAAATGATGGGAGGGAATGCCACTTTTTCGCCAATCCTGTCAGTTAACATGAAAGATGTTTCTTCCTTTAAATATATACAGTAAGCAATTGGCCAGGCTCTGACACAAAAGTTCTTCAACTGTAGTTGGTTCTGCCAGGGGCAGTGAAGAACATGGAAGAATTCCGCACTGAATGTGAGCCGCTTTGGCTTCTCATATGTTAATTGGTTTGTAATCTCCCACCAGGATTGGTAGATCAGGCCGCTATGGTCGCAAAGGTGTTGCAATCAACTTTGTGAAGAATGATGATATTCGTATCCTGCGAGACATTGAGCAATACTATTCCACCCAGATTGATGAAATGCCAATGAATGGTGAGTGTCTTAATTTCTTGTAGAAGATGGTTAACCATGGGATATTAGAAAAATTAAGATTTTTTTTGCCCCCTCCCCATTTTTCGTTCATTTTTCAAAAGTATTGAAAAAATTAACAAAACAATATGTAAAAAGCACAAAAATCATATCAAATCTTTTTCCTCAGTGTTGCCTAAAACCACAAGATTTTATAGATATTACAATAATCAGTTCATTGGTAAGAAAAAATGTTACATGCAGAACAAGATACATTTAAAAGGATTAAATGCTGCCTTTTTGGCTCTTTCACTCGCTTTTTAGATGTTCCTGCCTGTGAACCACAGCAGCTGTGCTTTTAGTGCATCAGCAATGTTAGACACCAAATTAGAAATAAACACAAACAACCCTAACGTAAATTAAAAATCAACTGATTCTCCTGCCTGCTCAGGAGAATAAAGCAATGCCAAATTTCTTCTACTGAAAGGAATTATTCCTTTTGGCTCTGACCCAAAAATGCTTTTTCAAGAGGCAACTGAACTTTTTTTTTTTTTAAAGACCTTTCGCTTCTCATCCAAAAAGCTTCTTCCAAGTCTGACTGGATGGTGGGGAATGGAAGGAGTCTTTCCATTCCCCACCATCCAATCAGAGCTGAAGAAGCTTCTTAGATGAGAATCAAAATGTCTTCAAAGAAAAAAATAAATAAAGTCCAGTTGTCTCTTGAAAAAGCACCTTTGGGACAACCACAACCTGGATGACTGAGAATCTCCATAAACACTCTTGGCTCTGAATGTACTTAAATCCACAAAAAGAATGGCCACTCCGTTTCTTTAATAGGTTTTTTTGGTAGTTACATTTCACTTAAGTACTATCCAAACTATGGCTGAGTGCACCTATTGTACTGTAATGCTTTATTTAATAACATAGAAAACAGCAATTGGTTTGTTCACAAGGCATGTTACACTTTTAAACCATGCAAATTAACAATGTTAGTGTTGGCTGGCAGAGCTTGCTTAATCTGAACCCAGCAAACTAAATAGGTCCACAGTTTGAGTCAAGCTTTGATCTTTTCAATTAGCCTAGTGAACAATCTTGAATTTGTAGAAGAAATATTTGTGAGTTGTCTCTCAAATGCTGCCGGCCATGTGATCGATTTTTTTAGTAGCTTTGCCTGTATTGTGAGTGCTTGCATAAGACTTGCCACCTTTTCATTATTTTCACACCACGATCTGTTTTTCTTTAATCTAGTTGCTGATCTTATTTGAAGAAACTTGACAAAAGAGAGAAGGTCCTCTTAGCTGTGATACATTATTATAACCACACCCAAGAGCTGGTTGGAACTCTTCTTGTTACTGATGCTGTTTGAAAACCATAATAGTGTAACTTCAGAATGGTTAGGCATCTCCGCATCTGCTAATCAGAATTGGCGAAAAGTAATATTGGAAGCAGTGCAAAGTGCTTAGTGGTTTTTATTTACTTTGTGTAATTGCAGAAACCTAGGAATTGTAATTGATGAAAATTGTAAAGAGGCATTTCTGTAAATAAGTTCATTGTCATCCTGTTTTCTGCTTTTTTCCTGATTAAACAATTATGTTTTCGTATATATTGTCCATTCACTAAATTTTGTTAAAACTGATCACTTTTTCTTCCTGTCTATCTAATTAGCAAAGTGAAAGGATTTATTTTTTAAAATGTTAATCTTTCAGATTCTTTTAAACAAGTCAAAATGAAATGGGAATTAAGAGTTTATGTATCTTCTTTATTATATGAATTAGAATATAGCCTCAAAATATTATTTGTAGTAGTAGTTTGATTGAAACTAAATATTTTAAAAGTTTTGAGTTTTCAAATTTTTCATTTTAAATAGAGAAAACAAGCTTAAAGTAGATTACTAATGATGGGCAACTATTTAGCAAATGTTTGTTATTTACATATTACTTGGTAAATTGGCTTTCTAGATTGCCAGTCAAGATTCAAAAGATTTGACCCCAAAACAACCTTAACTTGAAGAAATTGTTAAGAGATGAAAACTTTTTTGTATGACCAGAAAAATCAGTAAAGAAAACAGCTTGAGGGCACATAGCTGCTAAACTGTCAAAATTTCTGATGGAACTTTTCAAATTAATCCTGAGTAGGGACTTGCATTTAAAGCATAATGCATCTCCCTACTCAGAACTTTTATTACACGGTGGGCAACTTGGAGTCCTGAGGACTACCTATGCATGGATATGCTGCTCTTACATGGCCAAAGTCATTATTATCCTTCTTACAGAAAAGCAACATATATTACAATAGAAAAATAAAATGGAATTATTACTAATGGCAACAAAAGTGATTGTATTCAGCCCCCTATTCTAGAAGCAAGCAGGAATCCTCACATTTCTTTCAATAAAAGTGATCCTTTGCAATGAACCAAAATATTTCCCATCTCCACCTCTAAAGTTTGGACAGAATACACTGTGACAAAGCACACGTATCCAACCTTTGGGGTATGTAATAGGACACCAGATAATATTCAGCAATGTTGATAGCAAAAGGGAATAGACAAACACCTGGTTTAGCTCAACAACTTTTTAAGGCAGCACATCTATTTATTCAACTTTACCAACTGGATTCAGCTACCTGGAATAAAGTTTTTGTTACCTTGATTCGTGATAGTGAACTGAAACAAGCATGTAAACTTTGCATCATACTGAACCAAGGTTTTTCAAGATCCTGTTACTTGGGGGAAATGATTTTTTTTAGGGCACCATAAGTAGCCATTAAAGGTATATAGTATATGGCTGTCTTTGAACATGTGTAACTACAATGTGTAATCAAAACGATGAGGAATGGATCTTTGCATGCCATTTTGGAGACCTGACTCCCAGATTATCAGGTGTTTCAGCTGTTGTGACTCCAATGCTGTGGAAAGCATACTAACTAGAAGCCTTGTAAGTGGTCGGATATGATGCCCTGTATTTGTATTGAATAACACTGTTGGAAGGGACCTTGGAGTTCTTCTAGTCCAATGCCCTGCTGAAGCAGGAGACTATACCATTTCAGACAAGTGGCTGTCCAGTCTCTTAAAAGCCTCCTGCGATGGAGCACAAACAACTTCTGAAGGTGAGTCGTTCCACTGATTTGATTGTTCTGTCAGGAAATTTCTCCTTAGTTTTATGTTGGTTCTTTCCTTGATTAGTTTCCTCTATTGCTTCTTGTCCTGCTTTCAGGTGCTTTGGTGGATAGACCTCTTCTTTGTGGCAACCCCTCAGATGTTGGAACACTATGTCACCCCTAGTCCTTTTCACTAGACTAGACATACTCAATTCCTGCAACCATTCTTCGTATTTTAGCCTCCACATGGGATGCATGTGTGCCATCATGTTGAAGATTCTCAGTCATCCAGGTAGACTTGTTTGGAAGTTGGATCAGACTGAAGAAGCTACTTGGATAAGCAGTGAAATGTTTCAAACGAAAAAGAAAAGTCCAGTTGCCAAGACTACTTCAGTCATTTTATCTGTATTTGTAGTTTTATCTACACGGGTACTGTGGCTTTTTGGAGTATTGCAGTTATCACTTGTTTTTTTTGTGTGTGTGTGTGCCACCCAAAACCTGATGGCTTAAAGCTAGATAGAAAGTATCTAATTAGACGGAATTAAAACATGAGGAAAATTACATACTCAAATTTAAACTTCAGAAATTTGGAAGGAAGAAACAGCCTTTAAAAGAGACATCTAATATACTAACCTCCCAGACAGTGGTTCTCAACCTGTGGTCCACAGACCCCTGGTGGGCCGTGATGTCGTCACAGGAGCTACAGAAGCTTGAAGAAATATGATTTAAATCTTTAATTAAGTTGTCTGTGGCCATGATTGGTGGCCACAAAATATTTAAAAGGTGTCCGACTCCGTTGTGAAGAAAAGGTTGAGAACCACTGTCCCAGGCTATTAGTTTCTTAGTGGATGGAAAGTAAAACAAATGTAGAAGAAATGAAGGCGCAACCTAACTCACTTAATTCTTGCTGGTAGCTGTCAGGATGTCATCTTGTCTTAATGACAAGAACATATAAGAAAATTAGAAGTTTGCTAAACATTCTAAACAGTAGGTAATGCAGTGAATTACATTAACATGTTTAAATAAAATCATGAGTTTAATTTCATATATACACATTTGATTTTAATGTACCAGAAAATAAATTACAAGAAATAACTTTAAAATGTAACTGAAGACAATCACAACAAACATTCCCACTGATTTCCCATGGGATGAGATTGCAGTGTTCAAGGCAGGTAAATATCACAAATATATCAAAAAAACTAAATTGTTTTTATGCATTCACACATTTACATGAGCCACAAACATTCCTTTACAGGGACTGTACTTAGCTTATCACAGAACCAGGTTTTGCCATAAACTACAAAACTTTAGATACAAAATTGTATTTATATATTTATATTTTATACATGCCCTGTGATTAAAAAAATAACTAGACACACTGTACAGACAATCTGAACTCATTGCTTTGTAGTTGTAGGAAACAGATTTTGTTATTTTTGGATGGATTTTTCCCCTCAGTAATAATGGCATATTGTATATACATGTAGGCTAAAACTGCAGAGAAAAACAGCTCTTTTCATAATATACATATCCTGTAAAGACATGGTCTCTAAACTGAAAAAAAGCAGGACAATGTTATAGTTATCTCTAAATGAAGCGGCTGTGGAGATCAATATACATGCATCTGGGTAATACTGGTAGAGAAGGCAGTAATGCAAGAGCAGATAAATGAAGTGGCTCAAACATGAGTTCTCAGTTGACTGCTACTGCTGATATGTCAACTGGACTCAGGTTATAAATGCTGAAAATTAAAATGTCAAATGGGACTTTGTGTGATTATACATTCTATTAAAAGATTTCTGTATGGTTTTGATACTTCCCTGAAAAACCCTTTACAGTGGATACAATTCCATAAATCAGACCCTGGTACAAAGGACATTGGTACCAGGGTTAAGATCTTCCCTTTCCATGACACTGTGGGAGCAAATCAAAGATAAACTCTTTAAAATAGTTCAGTTTCTTCTCCTGTACCCCTACCGTTATCTTCCCACAATATGATGGCAGTAAATTAGGAATCCAAGCAGACTAAACTACTGCTTTATAGTCAAATGTAAACTTTGGTTTATTGAGTTCTCGTTGTACAACAAGCAAATCTAGGATGGACAGGCAGATGAGATGAGGTGAGCTGTCAGTTTGTCTTTAATCTGGCATGCTGAGACATCTGTTCAGTCAGGCCTGCTTTGATAGAGTTTGTAACCGATTGTCTCATGGTATCCTCAATCAAATTGTCCCCAAGAGGTTTTATAACCTGCAGTACAAGAAATGTGCAAAAATAAATTAACTAAAAGCATCTCAGATGGAAAACCACAAATTAAAATCATGGAGTATGAAATGTATCCAAAGTGCAACAGTACCAAAGCAAGAGAAAAAATGAGTTTTGCTACCAGCTTACAGTTAATAATTTACAGAGCAATAAGTGGTTTCCTCCGTTGAGTAGTTGACTTAATCCATGTAACTTTATAGCTCCTAGAATAGCAGGTGTAGTTTCATACCCTATAATGCAGCATCAGCCTGGTATGCTTATAGCATTTATGTAAATTGCCCCAGCACAGTCCTGCTTACGAATTGTGAATGCTTTAGATAAAGAAAAAGGTAAAAATACTGGCTAATTTTTCTTCCTGTTATTGTTGGATGAGAGTCGCTGCCGTTGTGCTGAGGCAAGAGCATGGCGAATCATTCGACGTCTAACAACTTCAAAGACTTTGGAACACACCTAAAATATGAAGCAGGTTATTAGAAAGGCAATTGGCAGAAACCAGAAAAGATATATGTGAGTAGCCTCCATTGATTTTTCTCACCTTCTTGGGACTCCTCTGAAGCAAAAAAGAAAGAAAAAAATACACAAGATGATTTAGAGTTAATTTAGAGTTAAGACAGCAATTCTGCAGCTGGTTCTTAAACAGGTTAACAAAGTTCTAAAAATAATGCAAAGTTAATGGAATAATTCAGTGCTGATCTGGACCACAATCGATTCTCTGGTTTCACTATAAAAGGTAAGATCAGAATCCTGTTGAATTCATCATGACTTCATGGACTTTGTGTGTTTTTCTGAACATTCTTCAGACATGATACAAATACATAGGCACTGTTTGGATGGATTATAATGAATACATAAGTATTTCTTGAAGAGAAGCAGAAAGGTTAATAATTTCAAATTTTCTAAAGTTAGAATTGGACTGGAATTGAATCTTCCGTTTTCTACCCTGATGCCTGACCCTTCTATATCTACATTATTTTTCTTTCCATTTCACGTCAAAACATGCTGGACATAGCAATAAATCTTTCTTTAGAAGAACATGAATTCATTAGCATAACAATGGATAATTCAAGAAAGGGCTCTACCCTTTACTGCAGATGCAAAAGCAGCTTTTATAAAGACAAAAACCAACTACTGCAGAATCTAGGAATCTAACCATACTTCCTTCTCTCTCAGCTCCAAGGTTTAAAGCCCACATCTCTTTTTCCCTTCCTTATGATCTGTTTTGTGATAGCAGATCTGTCCTCACTGGCTCCTCAGACCTAGGTACTGGGCAGCATTTTGATGACTTTCTTTAATCTTAGATTTACAATATCTAGTCTTGCCAACTAGATAGGGCATTGTACACCATGTTCTATAACTAGATAAGGATTCACAATTATGAACTTTCAAATGTCCGCCTCCAGAATATCCATTCTTTATACTGACATGCATGAATCACTCTTTTCTTCAGGTTTTCTTAGTCTTGGTACATGATTAGACACCAAGAATGATATTCTAAACCAATTTCTACTGCTATTTTCATACGGTTCCTTTATCTTATCTTTGGCATACATTCATATTGAATGGGCTTTTACAGCAATGCTTGCCTACTAACAATTAAACTTTTTTTTCAAGTGAGTAGATAAATGGATACCAACCTGTTCCCATAGTACTTCTGCCATCTGGTCAATGAGTGTTCCAATTTCTCTGAATTCCCCAGAGTATTTAACATATGCCCATGTACAAAGGGAGACAAGTGTTATGCCCATCACGAGGTTACACAGGGTTGCTATGGAGTTCATGCCAAGGAATCCAGTCAGTCCTGAGATTATATACATAGCAAACATGACAGCAAATAGAGTCGCTGGTGTACGAGCAGCATAGAAGAGGTTTTTGCCATCATTGTGCTTCACAAAGTTTGCATAGATGTCATCAAGCTCTTCTTCAAGCTGGTCCTGGTAACGACGACAGAACTCCTCACCTCCCATCTTCTTCACAGAACGGAAATGTTTGATTGCTAATCCTTTAAGATCTTGGTGCTTTTGTTCTAAGTCTGCAGGTGCTATGTAAGGCTTATCTCCACCACAAACCTGTTGGGATGAATTGACTGGTTAGGTTACATAACCTAGAACGGTTCTATAATTACAGAACTGCTAAAAATATTAAAAACTAAAATTAATATGTTGGAATATGTTGGACTAAGTCTGTGTAGATTCAAGGTCAAATCCCCATTCATGTACAGAATCATGGGCCAATCACTATCTCTCAATGTACAAGGCAGTCCTCGACATACAACCACAGATAAGCCAAAATTTTTGCTGCTAAGTGAGACATTTGTTAAGTGAGTTTTGCCCCATTTTACAACCTTTCTTGCCATAATTGTTAAGTGAATCAAGCTTCCCCATTGACTTTGCTTGTCAATAGGTTGCAAAAGGTGATCGCATGATCCCAGGACTGTCATAAATATGAATGAGTTGCCAAGCATCCAATTTTTGATCATGTGACCATGGAGATGCTGCAATGGTCATGTGAAAAAGTCATAAGTCACTTTTTCCAGTGGTTATAACAGCAAAATAAATGGTTGTAAATCAAGAAATACCTGTAGTCACTTTCACAATCAAGATAAATTGCAGATGAAAAGCCCGGTGAGCCACCATGAGCTTCTTAAGGGGATAGAAATACAATAAATAAAAATAAAAAAGGAGTGAAGCGTTCCTTTATTGCCCTTACAGAATAGTTGCTAGAAAATTCAGAGAGCGCTTAAAAAACAGTTGTGGGTGGCTAAATCAATTGGATACAGTGTGAAATAAAGACACATTTTAGATCTGTGTAATATCGCCAAAATAACCAATCCAGACCCATCAGAATTGCATGAATTGAGGAAGTTATCTGAAGAATCGATACAGTTATAGTCATTAACTATGAATAAAACATAGGGTTGCACTTTTTTCTACTAGCACTGTAAGGAGGCATTTTTCATTTTCTTTAACCCCAGCCATTTTTAGTTCATAATAAAATTTGTGGTTTAAAAACTGAATTTGATTGAACACCAGCAAGAGCCCATATTTGAGCCTACACTGTGGTAATGTTGACAAAATGTTGTTTCTCTGCCCTTATTGGGTCTGCTAATAGCAACCCAATGGCTCTGTTTAGAATGATGGGGAAGGGGCTGGGCTGCAGGATCATCTGCAGGGCCACAATGAACAATAGTCATGTTATCTGCCAGATAAAGTCAATCAGATTCAGAGCTGGACTCCAACTAGGCTAGTAAGTGAATTGCCTAGACAATCTTATGATGTTATCTGGACCGAGTTCAATTCGGACCCCTGAGGAAATGGATATGATCCTCCTGTCTGTTAGTTGGGGCATTCATTTGTTAGATCTGGGGTTCTACTAGCTTAAGGCATCCAGGTGCTGATCAAAAGCTGCATTAGTTGTCAGTTAATTCCTGATGCCATTCAAAATGCTGTCCGTTATCTTTAAAGCTCTTTCACATCATAAGATTTAGATACCTGAGGGACCATCTATCTCCAATTACTCCTGCCTGGCCAGTACATTCTGGCACAGTGAGTACAATCTAGATGCCTTCCATGTAATTTTGTCATATAATGGGAATGGAGGAAGCTACCTTCTCTGTCATGGACCGACCTTCTGGAACAGCATTCCCCTCCCCAGAGATAGAGACAGCCCTTCTCTCCTGGATCTCCAAAAAGCCCTGAAGTCTCAAGCCTGGTCTTAATGTATTTTGGGGGCCTGTTTTATTCACTGGTATTATGATGGCTGTTTGAGTCTGGGTATGTACGTTATAAGTCTTTAACTTTGTTTTTACAGTTTTTGGATTCCATATGTCATCCTGAGTCTACCAGAATATGGGTAGTTATAACAAATTCAAATAATTTTTTTAAAATACTTGCTTTATAAAAACAAAACAAATCAGGATCTGACACTTATTTAAAATGCCAAAGATGTACTTATGACCTCAATGAGAATATGACTAGTAACACACAAAATATTTAAGCCAAAACCAAACAAGATTATTTTATGGCTTGAATCAATTTGTGAACCCAATCTATACCGCTCTGCGTTCTTTACAAAATAGTTAATAATTCATCTTCTAGTTCTAATTTCATAATATTTTCCAAAACAATCCTGTTTCTGTACCATATCCCAGATTAGACCAGCCTTTCTCAACCTTTTTAATCTGAAGGAACCCTTGAAATGATTTTCAGGCTTCAGGAAACCCCTTCATACTTCTCAACACAATTCACTTCTAACCTAAAACCACTTTACAACTTTTACAACAACAGTAAATCAGCAGTCAAGTAGCTGGGTTGAAGCATGTTAAAATTTTTATCACAAGGGCAAGTACCGCACAATACATGAAGTAGAAAAATATTTTTTTAAAAAATCACAATCAATTGTTGAACTAGAAGTCTCTCACAGAACTCTGGGTTTTTGTGAAACCCCAGTTGAGAAAGATAGGATTAGGCTAAGTCTACAACTTCAAATAAATTCATATAAATACTCTACCTGTTCCATTTCTTTATTGTAAGTATCTTTTGAACCAGCTACTGCAGCAAGATTGTTGGCTTCTGCTGTTGCCTGTAGTAATAGTAGCAGTAGTAATAAAAGTAGTGGTAGTAATAATACAAAAGGTAGTAATAATGGTAATAATATTAACAAAAAAACATTTTAAACAGTTTGGATGAGTTTCTGTAATAGTTTTCATACATCCTTCCAAAATGCAAAACATATTTAAGCATGTTATGTCCTATAGTTTTACACTGTGAATTCTGGTAGCCACTTTGCAATCTTAAGAGTTATAAATAACTGCTTAATAAATTTATAAGTAATTTTGTAAATTAGAATGACAATATTTTGTTAGTTAAAAAGCTTTTATCAAATTTTGCTTCTAAATATATTAAACTACAATTCCTACCCCCATAACTAGGGAAGACTACTTAAAAGGAAGAGAAAGATAGACTTCAAACTTGCAAGATCTCTATTCCTTTTTACTAAACTACTGAAGACTAGAGACAGATTCAAAATTATGACTATGCCAGCAGAACCTGTTACTCACGCCATTTATACATAAGAGTTATCTGCATTGCTGTTAATGAGAGATATGTTGATATTATACAATTTGGTGACCAGAGATCCTTAATGATCTACTACTAGCTATCAAAGGAAAGATTGTTATCTATTTTTTGTCTGTCCCTAGTCTCAATGTACTCAATGGCATTTTACAAAGAAAACCATCTTGTAAATTACATTTTCAATGTTTGTCCCGGTACTCAAAGCTCAATATTTGCATCCATATATTCTTTCTTCAATATTTTGCATCTTAGTTAAAAACTGGATGAACGCAGATCTGGAAAAGATTTCTGCCCAGATTAATTAGTGAAAAGTCCAACCATTCCTTTAAATTTGCAAGTGTACCAAAAGCAGCTAGAATTCAATGACACAAAATTAAATGATCCTACAATTTGGAGTTTACAGTAAAAACTGTAATCAAATGTGGATTAGTGCCACATGAAAGACATAATAAATTCTATAATCAAGTCTGAAATATCCAACTAAGGCTACTGTTCTCCTGTTCTTGAATAAGATTTCAAATGTCTCTAGCTTGTTTTGATATGCCATAAATATGATTGTTTGGCATTACATGCTTCCATAGATAGGTATATATAAAACTTTACCTGAAGCATTGATTTGGGATGAGGTAATTCCTCTCCTTGATAGATTTTAATATAAGCCTGAAAATGAAATAAGTATTTACAATCTAATTTTGACTTAAAAATAATACTTTTACAAAACAAAAATCTAAGTCTATTAAATTTATATTTATATTCAAATTCAAATGTAGTTAAATGAAAGTGACTGGATCAAGTACTCCACCAATGTTATTTTAAACAAATTAAGAATTTAATGTGTTATTAATGATGAGCAACATAAACTGAACATATACAATATAGAAGGAATACAAGAAAACTGTGATTTATTAAAGTTTCTTCTCATAATGTCACTATACTTAGTATCCTGCTTGAAAGAGTTACGGTAAATAGTAAAGCTTCTCATACACAAACTCAAGGCAGTAATACCCCAAATCTGCCTCTTTTGGATGACTGCACATAATTATTATTAGTAATGTTGGTATGTGACTGAAATAAAAAAATGATTGATAATTGTTATTATTGCCTAATCTTGGGGAAAAGGCTGCAAACAAAGACAGTATAGTTAATTATATTTCAAGTACATTATTTAATATTATCCAAGAATAGTACAGTGCATTCAGAAAGTATTCAGACCCCCTTCACTTTTGTCAATTTTGTTATGCTGCAGCCTGATTCTATAGTTGTTGTTAATCTACACTCAGTACCCTATAATGACAAAATGAAAACAGAATTTTAGAAATGTCTGTAAATTTATGAAAAAGAAAAAACTGGAATATCACATTGGCATAACGTAACGTTTACAATTGAGGCCAAACCAGTAGTGGGTTCCACTTACCTTCACTACCAGTTCGGAACTGTGAGTGTGTGCATGTGCAGAACCTTCCATACATGTGTAGAGCGTCCGTGATGACATCTGGGCAGGTGGACGAAGCCTCCCACCGCTGCCACTACCGGTTCGTCCCGAACCGGGGCAAATCGGTAGAAACCCACCACTGGGCCAAACAGTTCAATCTTGGTTTCATCAGACCATAGAAACTTGTTCCTCACAGTTTGAGAGTCCTTCAGGTGCTTTTTGGCAAACTCCAAGTATGCTTTCATGTGTTTTGCATTGAGGAGAGACTGCTGTCTAGCTACTCTGCCATAAAGCCCAGATCGGTGGACGGCTACAGTGATGGTTGTTCTTCTAGAACTCTGTCCTATCTCCACACAGGATCTCTGGAGCTCAATCAGAACGACCATTGGGTTCTTGGCCACCTCTCCCCCGATTGCTCAGTTTGACCAGGCGACCAGCTCTGAGTCCTTCTTGTGCCAAACTTCTTCCATTTGAGAATTATGGAGGCTACTGTGCTCTTAGGAACCTTCAGTGCAGCATAAATTTTACTGTAGTCTCCCCAGATCTGTGCCTTGCAATAATCCTGTCTCTGAGCTCTGCAATCAGTTCCTTTGATCTCATGGCTTTTTTGCTCTGCTACAGTATGCAGTCTATAGAGGTGTGTGACCTCTCCAAATCATGTCCAGTCAATTTAATTTATCACAGGTCGATTCCAATCAAGGTGTAGAAACATGTCAGCAATTATCAAGAAAAATGGGAGGCACCCGAGCTAAATTTTAAGTGAGGCTGCAAGAGGTCTGAATACTTATACAAATGTGATATTTCAGTTTTTCTTTTTAATAAATTTATAATCATTTTTAAATGTCATTATGGGGTACTGAGTGTAGGTTAAAGAGAAAAAAAATGAATTTCAACAACTGTAGAATCAGGCTGCAGCATAACAAAATTGACAAAAGTGAAGGGGGTCTGAATCAGTGGTGGGGTTCAGTTGGTTCTGTCTGGATCCCGGGAACCAGTAGCGGCGACTGCAGGAGGTCTGCCCACCCACCCGGACATAATGCACAACTACTGCACATGCGCAGAAGGCCATGTGCATGCGCAGAGGTGGCACAGGCAAGCAAAGCAAGCGCTGGTGAGTGCTCACATTGCAAACTGGTAGGGAAGGTAAGTGAATCCCATCTCTGGTCTGAATACTTTCTGAATGCACAGTATCTAAGGATTAATTTATGTAATATATAAAAGAGGCATTAAAATCTATATAAATCTCAATATAATGTAGATTATTGTGAAGCAATTAGAGCAAAAATAGGGCCATGAAACTCTAGTATAATAAAAATTAATAAAAAGACTTGGGTTTGAATATGCTAACCATAGTATGTGAACAATGGAATATTACAGCATACCAACCCTTTCATAATTAAAATTTATAAGAAAATACATTTATTTAAAGCATAGAACAATAATTGTACCTTAAAATATTGCACTAGATCTCTACAAGTCACTTTTGAGCCACTAATTTCTTTTTCTACCAGATTTTTAGGAGCAAGCAGCAAAGGAATCAGATTCCGCAACTCTTTCTTAAACTCTTCATCAATATCTGGTGGAATAAATAAAAATGATGTAACAAATTTTATTCAATTACTGCAAAATCCTTTCTTTTCAAAATCACTGAGAGGTAATATTAATGGAACTATCCCAATTTTGTTAAAACATCCCCAAAGAATAAAATCTTAGTCAAATGTGGATTGCTAATTTATGAAATATTTACTCTTCATAAAGAATTAATATACAGTATAGTCTTCATTTAAAAAAAACTAATAGTCAGAAGACACTGTATATATTCTATAAACTCAAGATAAGCTCATCTTGAATTTTTAACCAAAATACCATGAAAAATGTGCTAACCACAGATAAGCTGAACCTCATAATGTTCATGTTTTAATAAAGGAGAATATTTGTAGCTCTAGATTGAAATGAGGGGTCCTTGGTGCTCTCTGAATTTGGTTGTTTTCTTGCAGAGTAAGCTCCTTGCTTACTAGCATTGATGATGTTACCTAGTATAGGTAATGAAATGTCTGCAAGAAAACAACCAAGCTCAGAGAGCAGGAAGGAACCCTCACTTCATGTTTCAATTTTCACAATTGCCTTACCAATGGGTGACACATTTTTCATAGTGTTTTGGTTAAAAATTAAAGGGCTGGCTTATCCATGGATGGATTATACAAAAGTATATATGAGTACATTAAAAAGTGGTACTATATATACTCACAAATAAATCCATTCATGGATAAGCCGAACCCATGAAGCATCCAACCGCAAGCAGTTGCACCGGCACAATGCACCACATGGTGTCCTGTTGCAAGCGGCAGCATAGGCACAATGCACCATGTGGTGTCCGGCCAAGAGTGGCGGCACCAGCGCAATGCACCACATGGCATCCGGCCACAAGCAGTCACAGAAGTCATACAGCAGCGTTACAGATGTTGGGGCGTCGGAGGCCTGGCTGCGGCAGTCCTAGGTTAGCAAGTATGGGGTACGTGGGGCAGCTCCACTCCCCCTGCCCTAGCTTGATTTTTACACAAGTGCCTCACCCCTCCTCGAACAACTAGACGGTGTGATGGAGTAGGTGAGGTCTTAACCAGGGCTTATTTTTGGGGTAGGGCTTATATTAGGCGCACATATAAAAACAGGCTGGGGCTTATTTTCAGGATAGGTGTTTTTGTATAAAATTTGTTTAAAATGTATGTAGGTTGAAATTTTATTAATACATAAAATTATTATAAAAATAAAAACCTAAAAATTATGCAATAAGGAAAGATGGTAATCATTTTACTGATGTTTTCTTTTATTAACAGACCATTTTGTGACCGCAGGCAGTGTTATACACTTCTAGTTTTGTCACTGTCTCAAATCCAAAGCCTAATTCAGATGAAATGGAAAACTGGCTTTCATGTTCTTTGGCCTCTCAACAACTATCTTTTGGTGCTATAAAAAGATATGGGAAACTTCCTTCTTTTTGTTTAAACACACTGAATCTAAATAGGCTTCAGATTCCAGCGTATTTTGCAGTAGACAGTATAGTGAATTGTTGAAACAGGTTGAAGGGGAGAAGAGACAATTTGGAACCACAATTAATTTTCACAGCAGGAAATCATGATTAATTATCCAATATCAGCTAAGTTATAATGTCAGTTGATTTTAAAATAAAATTCAAATTTGACAGGATATCTGCTCTGTAACTTGATAAGCAACATCAACTTCAGTATTTAATCAGAAACCATAATCAATATCAAAACTGTCATATTAATTTGTATCATATGAATTTTTGTCATATAACTGTATTCCTAATAGGGCTGTTCAAAGCCAAATGAAAAAACTTTGCAATATATACAAGCCAAACAAAGAATTGATCTTTTCATTGTTAGAGGAACCAAACTTGCAGTATTTGCACACCTATTGTTCCTGGATATTTCTTCCTGCTTGTAAATGCATAGCCACTTTGTTTCACTTTCTTCCCAATAAAGCAAAGCAGCTTGCAAAAGTAGCCTAGGAGGACTTCCAAAGTCGCTATTGTAAGTCTTACAGAAGATATGGCTGCTTCAAAGGTTTGAAGAGAGGTATTTCATTCCTCCATGTTATATAGCATTTCTTCTGAAAACTTTGTACAGTTCTTAACTGAAGAATTTAAATAGAATTAATATGCTACTGGTACTCCTCCAACAACCATCTAAATTATCCCATCAATATTCAACTATAGTGGATTTCAGATTTGAGTACACTTTACTATTTCTTTTTGCTACTTTTAATGCAACCATTCAAAGTGCAATCAAATCTGTAATACCTCCTAGCTAGCTATATAAACAGAAAATTTCCTACCATTTAGCCTCCCATCAAAATTTGGGTTAGTTGCAACTTTAAGACCAGGATGCGGCAACAGGAAACAGCCTAGGTTACTGAAACATGAGTGAATATGCTTCCTTACATTCTGAAGCTCTTCGTGCTGGTGCAATTTTACCTAGAAACAACATACATTTTTAGAACATGAAATTCTTTAGCAGCCAGTTAGATATAATCTAATACAAAAATAATTATTTGCATGTTCCAATTAGCTCAGCTCCCCTTAAACAAAAATCAACTATTACTGATAATGAATTACCTGTAATCGCTTTTCTAGAAATTGTTTTCCTCCTTTTAAACCATATGGGTGTTCATATGGATAGCTCCAGTCTCTAATTAAGAACATAAGAGTCTATGTAGAAATGCAAAAATATGAGTTAACCTTTTTTGGCAAACAGAACACTACACTACTGAAAACATCATTATAAAATCTTTACTATTCATAATTCAGCAAGCATCTTTTTAACCCCTATATATTATTAATATAAAAGCAGAATCAGCAAAGAATACTCTAAATTCATGCTATCTCAGCTTTTTCTGAAAGTATCTATCTTGTAGAATGTGAACAAAATTGTTACCCTGGAACAAAACCATCACATTCTAAAAGTTATGCTGAACTATTTCTGATTAGACATAACTTGGCAGAACCAAATTATAGAATATTTTGGTTATTCTGGGCTTCAGACAAATAGAATCCTGATGAGGCAAGTAAAGCATAACCCCACCAGCTCCCTAGCTCTCATCTTTCCAACCTTTTTCCTTCCCTCTCTCTTATGCTGATGCTGTCCATCATACCCTACCAGACCACCTGTTTTTCCCAGCACTTTTTCTCCTCCTTTCTTCCCTCTATCATTGCTGATGTCTTAGTCTAATATATCCCACTATGCTCCCTCCATCTCCAATCTTTTTACCTCTCCTCAACTATTAATGTCCTTGGTTTTTTTCTATTGATTAGCCAACCAAAACAACCTCTTTCATAAATGTTAAAATTTAAAACGTTTCAGTTCAGATACAGGCTACCTGAAACCAGGCATTTCATGCACATTCCTAATACACTTACCCTGTTTCCCTGAAAATAAGACATCCTCTGATAATAAGCCCAATCGGATTTTTGAGCGCATGCCCTAAAATAAGTCTCCTCCTGAAAATAAGCCCTCCCCGAAAATATTTAAACGCAGAGCTGGAAATCAGGTAAGACGGCAAGAGGAGCCCCATCTTGCTCCACATGCCCCAAAATAATAAGACCTCCCTGAAAATAAGGCCAAGCGCTTATTTTGGGGTTCAAAAAAATAAAAGACAGGGTTTTATTATCGGGGAAACATGGTACATATTATTTTACTACAGTCACAAAAGGCGTTTTGTAGTAAGCTGAATCATGAAAAAAAACTTGCATACAAATTATTACCCTGCAGTAAGTATAAGAATTAAAATACAGTCACCTCCTTCTCCTCAGACAGAATAAAAGTGTAAACCAATTTGCCAGTTTGCTGAGGTGGAAAGATGACTTCTACAAAGCAGCAAACAGGCAAATATATCCTTCTCTTCGTCAAGAAAAAGTATGTGAACCCCTTGGGATTACGTGGAGTTTTGCATGAATTGCAAATAAAATGTGCTCTGAACTTCATCTAAGTCACAACAATAGAATAACACAGTCTGCTTAAAATAATACTACACAAACGTGTTGCCATGGTTTAATTATATTAAATTATATTAAATATAAATTATATTAAAATAATACTACACAAACCGTGTTGCCATGGTTTAATTGAACATAACATGTAAACATTCACAGTGCAGGGAGGAAAAAGTATGTGAACCTTTGGACTTAATAACTGGTTGACCCTCCTTTGGCAGCAATTTCTGGATCGGGACTCCTTACGCACAGTCACTCAGGCACTCGTCACTTCCCGCCTGGACTACTGCAATGCTCTCTACATGGGGCTCCTCTTGAGGAGCACCCGGAGGCTCCAACTGGTGCAGAATGCGGCCGCGTGGGGGATTATTGGAGCGAGGGGGCGCTCCCATGTGACACCACACCTGCGTGAGCTGCATTGGCTTCCAGTGATCTTCCGGGTGCACTTCAAGGTGTTTGTTACTACCTTTAAAGCGCTCCATGGCATAGGACCTGGGTATTTGCAGGACCGCCTTCTGCCGCCGATAGCCTCCCACCGACCAGTACGCTCCCACAGAGAGGGACTCCTCAGGGTGCCGTCAGCCAGGCAATGTCAGCTGGCAACCCCCAGGGGGAAGGCCTTCTCTGTGGCAGCTCCTGCCCTCTGGAACGATTTGGCCCCGGATATACGAAGGATATCAGCTCTCCAGATCTTTCACCATGCTCTGAAAACTTTTCTTTTCCATCAAGCAGGGCTGGTGTGAACCCCCTCCCCCTTTTTTAGTCTTTTTTAAATTTTTTAGTTTTTAAATTGTCATTGGGTTTTAATTGAATTGTTTTAAATTGGGCCAGTTATGTAATTCTTTCAATAATTTTAACTTTTTGTAATGGTATGTGTTTTAGTTCTGGCTGTGCACCGCCCTGAGTCCACTAGGACAAGGGTGGTATACAAATTGAATTGAATTGAATTGAATTAAATAAACAAACAAACAAACAAACAAACAAACAAACAAACAAACAAACAAAAATAACCTCAACCAAACGTTTCCTGTAGTTGCAGATCAGACCTGCACAACAATCTGGAGTAATTCTGGACCACTCCTCTTCACAAAACTGTTTCAGTGTAGCAATATTCTTGGGATGTCTGGTGTGAATCGCTCTCTTAAGGTCATGCCACAGCATTTCTAGGTCTCACATACTTTTTCCTCCCTGCACTGTGAATGTTTACATGTTATGTTCAATTAAACCATGGCAACATCTAATGTTTGTGTAGTATTATTTTAAGCAGACTGTGTTTTTCTATTGTTGTGACTTAGATGAAGTTCAGAGCATATTTTATGACCAATTCATGCAAAACTCCACGTAATCCCAAGGGGTTCACGTGCATATGCAACTGTATATGTCACCTGCTGGGCAGATGATGCTGGGCAATCACTTTTTTACAATTACCATTGTAGTATATGAAACTTCCCTGAGATAAACAAACATGGAAATAGGAAACATAATCATACTATTACCTGAAATGGCTTTTGATAAATTTCTTCCATTGCTAGCCTTCCATACTCTGTAAAAAGCTATTAAACAAAATTAAGAATGTATGCATAAAAGACAAATACATACATACATATATATCTCACAGTAATAAACATTTACTCATGAAGAAGTGGTGGATTATACTTAAAAAGTTAGCTGCACAAAACAATTTTAAAACTCTAAATAAACCGATTTGGTTATTGGTTATTAATCTAACCAATTAATAACCAAATACTTTCCTACATTCTGAATTAATGAATCTCAACAGCAGAATAATATTGATAATAATCATCTTTTTTCTAATTTTCTGAATATTTGAACTGCAATGCTGCAAATATCATAATTTATGCAGAATGTTGTTATTGTGGTCATGAGGTTATGAAGATCTGTGATCATGGATTGTTTAATATCTACCACCACAGAATGTTAATATATAAAATTTCTGTATTTGTATAATTTCATACATTAGTCTACAAAAAAAAGTTCTATTTCAAGCCTTTATTTTTTGCTTAAAAGGTTGTTAACAACCCAAGTGAAAATAAAGAGCAAATGGCTCTCAAATAGTTAAAAGTTTCAGTGGCATAGTAAGTATTCATTCTTCCAAGAAGATATAACCTGAGCGAAAACTGAATGATTAAGGTATTAGGTAGCCCAAGAATATATTAGAAGATGTATTGGAAATTATTACTGTTTACCAAATTTTATAGGAAAAAATTAGGAAAACAATTTAACAAATAGGAACTATAAATCTTAATATATTTTTTATACTAAATATATAATCATAGAGGAAAAACTTTATCAGTGCATTTCAAGTAATAGTGATTAAAAATAATGTACATGAAGTTCTCAAAGACGATTCAGCCCCCCATCTTACTTCTAGCAATCTCCTGCATTCCCTAAAGAGTCCCCTTAATCAGGAACCTTTCAAAATTGAGCCCATGAAGGCACAAATGTTATCAAAGTATGTTTTTGACCCTTGAAACTTCCATGTGTAAAGATCTTATTAAAATATTAGCAATGGAAGTTACTATAGAATCAGGACATATTTACTTGCAAATGCTGAAGATCATCTTCTTGGATGTTCTGAGATAGATTGTATACCTATAAAATATAAGAGTTTTTATATTTATTTATTTATTAAACAAATTTATATGGCTGTCTAACTCACACATATTGAATCTGGGTATCTTACAATATTAAAATTTCACAATGTAAGCCCATAAATAGCCACACCATCCCCCAGTGGCAAAAACCGCAAGATCCAAACCCTAATTAAACTTATTAGGTGATTTGCTTTTAGATTTGTAACAGTTTGCCAACCAAACTAAACAGCCTCTTAGGTGGAGAGTTCCTTCAATCTCTAATTTGAGTTGAAAGTTAATAACTTTAACGTTAATAAAGTGTGTTCCCTCTTCAATCTCTTTGTGAGAGAAGGTTCTGGAAAAGAAGAGATTGCTTACAGAAATCTCTTGTGTCCCTCCCCCACTCCCCAGAGTGGAGTGAAGAGACTGGAGAAGAGATTTCACAAGACATAATTAAAGCTGAATGCTTGTTGTAACAGAATATTCTGGTTAACTGTAGCAATCAGAAAATCCCAGCAAAATAAACAGAGGAAGACATTTAGACTAAAACTTGTAATTAACACTGGATGTCACTACTAAAGATGCCCAATTTAAAAACGTTTAAACACTCAGAACTAGCAAGCCAGGGTTTTATTTTAAATTAGTTTGCTAACTATCTCATTTTATTACTGGAGAACCTGGTAGAGAACATCAATTTTCTTCTTGAACATTTTAATACCCTTTCAGCAGCAATAAATACATTTGGATTTTATTATTATTATGACTATTATGAGTATTAAATATTATGAATATTTTATTATTATTATGAGTATTAACCCACTAGAGTAGAAAAAATGACTGTGCTTCCAATGTCCCTGAAATAGCTGTGAAACTGTCACTAGGGATAATGAAAATGAAGGGCATCTGTACATACGATCACCAGGAATCCGGCCTCACTCAAATAATCAATACATCATGAAGGAGAAATTAATCAATATATTATTAATAGTCAATAAAAAATCAATATAATTGATGTATTGATAATTTATTGATGAATAAATTAAAATAATATAGTATTAAGGAAAAATTCATTCCACGCTGGAGTATAGTCCTTGCTTAATAATATTCGAGACCAGCATTTCTGTCACTAAGTAATGTGATCCTGTGCAATGTCATGTAAACATGCCACTTCTGATAATTCATTAAGTGAATTACCACAGGTCATTAAGTGAGGACCTGATGTGACCGCAACTTCCTAACAGCTTCCCACTGGCTTTCTGGAAGCCGACAGGAAGATTGAAAATGTGACCGTAGTAGGTCATTGCAACAACTGGAATTTAAGAGACCAGTTTTAAGTACCACTCATTCATTGCTCTTTTAAGTCCATATGGTTGCTGAATGAGTCATTTAAGTGAGGACCACTCATATATTAAATTATTAAATTCCAGAATAGTTAAGTTAGCTTTATACATAGACACAATGTCCATGCATTTGCTACCGGTAGTAGATTCTATTCCAGAAAAACCTATATAGGCTATTATTATTTAACAACCACTCGTTCATTAACTATTTGAACTTCAGACCCTATTTTATCCTTTTAAATGCATAAATTATATTAGATTGAAATTAAAAATATGGACTGAATGGGTATTTGTATCTTGGTTTTCCACATTTTAATCAAGATCATCCACTTCTACACAGTATTGGCTTTTTAAAGCTAAACAAAGAACTTTAAAAATTTGTATCACACTTCAGATTAGCATTATATTTGAAACCTACTATTCCTAGTGTCTGAAAGCTGTAATGCAACCAAAAGAGTAAGTATAATGGTTCTTTCTATAATACATATAATTTATAAAACATATTTCTATGCTGTCATAATCAAAACAACTCTCACTGGAAAAAAACATGAAAGCAATAAATGGTTTTACTATTATGTTTTCAGGAGACATAGATATTTTGAAATAAGGAAAATATTTAAAGTCTACCATCATCTGACATGACTACAAATTTACCTGGACTGAACTTGTCATGGTACTTAAAGCAAATACTGTTGCACAGTCTTTGATAGTTGACTGGCTATCAAAGGCACCTTGGGTATCCATTAGTAATACAGCAACCTATAGGGTGTTTTTTTTTAAAGAAAAAGAGAATGAATTAACAATTCTTTCACTTTAAATTTGAAAGCTTGAATTCAATGAAGGTGTGATATCAGCAATGTTTCACAGTATTTTAATTCCCTCCACTCAGTTAGCAGAAAATGTACCCTTACCTTCATCAATATCCACAACCACTTTAATTAACGGTCAAAATTCTAAAAAGTGACCAAATAACTCAGTAGTCACACTTTTGAATATGAAGCAAAAAACCTCACAAGTGAAAATGCCATGGTGTGGTTAGGTATACGAACGTGTTTATGTTAGTAGATATTATTGGCTATATAGACCACCAGGAGGCAGTACTGGATCGCTTTCATCGTTATTAGGAATTATCAGTTCCTGGTAGAGACTCTGAGCCCCACAGAATAACATCTCATTAGGAAAGCAATCAAAGGTGGTTTTGATTTCTTCTAGGTGGTCAGTGTAACTGAAAATGGCACATAGGATATACATTATATAAAAAGAGAGAAAATTCGCCCTACGGATGGATGAAAATAATGTCAAACCGTGTACACACACAAGTATAACATAATTTAACGTATATTTCTCTGAAGTTTAAGGGAAGGTGGGCCACACAGCTTCATCTAGTGATTAAAACAGCAGGCCAGAACCAGAGGATTGTGAGTCTAGTCTTACTTTAGGCATGAAAATCAGCTGGGTGACTTTGGGTCAGTCACACTTTCTCAGCCTGACCCATCTCACAGAGTTGTTGTAGGGAAAATAGGAGGAGGAAGGAGCGTTAGGTATGTTTGTTGCCTTGAGTTATGTATAAAAATAATAAAAGTGTGTTTTAAAAAAATTATTCTGACAGAGTAAATGTTACTGGGTATTTTCAAAAGTTCAATTCGATGTATTATACTGCATATAATATTAAACATTCTTAACATTAAACATTACAATTAGTTAAAACACTAAACAAGTATACAGTAAGGCTGAAACTGATGAGTCAATGACTCTCAGGCCATTATGTAAATATGTTTAAAGTATTGCTATTGTTCATAGCTAGGAAAAGAGCAGCCAAGTGCCTATCGAATTCAAACAGCAGGAGGTAGACTGTACATGTATGGAAAACTTATTTCTGTCTGCAATCTGGCCATGCTCACTCCATGAAATTCCATGCCTGGAGAATCCTGACAATATATTTCAGAGGTATCTAAAACATCACATCAACTCAGATCAGGAAGAGGGATCAAAATATTTCACATTCAATTTTTGCTTTCTCTGTTCAGTAAGTCAATAAGCCTTACGTCAGATGCTTAATGGATTACCTTCGTCCCATCAGGTTTGGGAATGATGAATACTTCACTCCAAACCTGGATGCCAGTTGTTTCTCTCTCACACCCTCCTCTCCATGTAAAGCCAGTCAAAGGCTCACTAGTTCCACCTATCCAAGAAGATGACTCCTATAACAGAACACACACGCATACATATATATATATAATAATGTGAGAGGCTCAAGGCAATCATGCATTAATATTGTATGCTTAATTTTGACTAATATGAAAAACCTGTATCATTACAAGTAGTCCTTGTGTTACAATGGCAATAGGGATCACCTTCCCTGCCAGCTTCCCTGTTGTCTTTGCTTGTGGGAAGCCGGCAGGGAAAGTTGCAAATGGCAATCATATCTGTGGCTTGCTATGCCATAATCGCGAGCTGAGCACCTGAGTGCCCAGATTGCAATCACGTGACTATGGTGATACTGCAGTGGTTGCAGCTTCACAGCTCGTTAAGTACGGTCAATCACAAGTGGTCATAACCTGAGAACTAAAAATTATCACACTTAATTCACAAACTTTTCTAGTTCTATTTCTAGTCCTGTTTATGAAGGAAAATTTACGACAACAATTTTTAATACTATTATACAAGGGACACATGCCTTATAAAGCCTAAAAATTCAGCAATACATGCAATTCTCTAATGGGGTTTCCTATATTTGCAGATCTTTCCATCTTCATATTTCTCCCTATATCTCCTGCATTACTGACCCCAGAACCTGAAAAACATATCCTTCATAGTCCTCCTGACACATAGCCTGTCTCTTGTCAGAAGAGAGGGTAAGTCAAAAGAGGTGTAGTCTATCTGAAAGGAAATAGGTGTCTTAATGGGAGTAACAATTTCGATTACAGGTAATTGTCACTTAACAAAAGTAATTGGGATTTGAGTTTCTGCTTAAATAATGTGGCTGAAAAGCACAATGTCACATGGCCCTACAGCTTAACAACAGAAATTCCAGCATTCCCAGTTGCCACTGTTAAGCAAATCACAGCAGATCATTAAACAAGGAATCATATAGTTGCATCTTTGCATTTACAACATCCTGCCACCTTCCCCATTGACTTTGCTTATAGGAAACCAACAAAAAAACTTGTGAATGGTGATCACATGACCACAGGGTCGCTGAAATTGACATAAGCATGAGCACTAGTCAAGCCCCTCATTCAGCATCATTGTAAGTTCAAATAATCACTGAACGAGTGGCCCTTCAGGAACTTTTTTCAACTTTCTTTGCTAGTATGCTAGGAGTCTGCAGCAGTAAGAAACCCTCTCTCAGTATCATATATACATTGTTCTTTCCAACTGCAGATCTTATTTCCTAGTAGCAAATACTCATATTAAAACATAAGAAGCATCAATCTCAATTTATCAAATACTGAACTCCCATTTACCCTTACTTTTAAAAATTACTTATACTGCATTCTAAACAAAAATGTTTCTTGTATTTCTATTATGAACAAACTATTTCATTTATCATAACCCATTCCATTTTATCTTTCATAAGTAATTTAGAAGATCTGAGCATTGCAATAGATTGCGAAACTGATATTGGAAAAATATAGTACTTTGAACCGAATATTTTCCACTACAATAAAGTGTTACTTAATTACAAGTAGTTCCTGTGTAAATGGCATACTGTATACTGTTTTGTTTTTTAGTTCTAATGTATGGTTACCAACTATGTTAATTAATATTAACATTAATTAGCAAATTCCCTCCATAATGTTTAGAAATATGAACTCTTTAGACATTTTGGAGCACAATAAAACAAATCTTAAGAGGAATACACTTTTGTTAATTATTCTCAAAGTAGTATAAATGTTCAGCAGTTCAGTTACCCACCTTGTTATACATATACCTAAGCATGAAATCCAAGAGAAATGATTTGCCTTTACGGAATGCACCAGCAACAGAAACTACTACTATGTTGAGGTCTCTTATATGTTCCTGAAGCAAGATTCTCTCCAATGCCGATTCATCCAGTTCAAAGTTGTGATCGTCTTCATGAGCAAGAACTATCTGTACTGGGCATGGCTTTTCAGGAATCGCTTCATCAGCATCCAAAGAGGCGTTCTCTTCTGCATCCTCATAGCTCTCTCCTAGGAAATAACTGGATAATATTAGATACACTATTCCTATCATCAAGAGCTCCATTTCTGAAGCCTGACAAAAAATTCATTTCTACTTAGCAACTGAATCTAATAGTATCCTAATTCTACACTAAGTCTAAAACATTAAAAAAAAATATTTGGCACCCTCCCCACACACACTGAATGACAATATTATTCAAAACTAACTATTCTATGGATTTCAAAATTTAGAGCCATATAATTAGGATGTTGCAAAGTGAAACAGGCAAGACTCTACAATCTTTTCAGGTCTAGACATATTTAAACCAAACACATTTGAGACCTATTTCTTAATTTTACCATGTATCTGTATAAATGCTATGTTGTGACCAAGACCCCGATACAGAAATCCTGTCCCAAAGCTAGTAGTACAAACCACTTTGACATATTGTAAAAACTTTATCATCCTCCATTAAAAAAAAAAATCATTAAAGCCCTATATTTCCAATTCAAGCCCCCTTGACAGAGAGGTAGGCAGCATATAACTAAATAAACAAACAAACAAATAAATATCTCCCTAACAGACATTTCTCACATGCTGTAACTTTGGGGTTTTAGTTGTCTGATATCATCTTTTTAAGCATTGTATCAAGTATTTACTATCAAGTTCCTAGCTTCTATAATAACCTGAGTATTTATTTTTATTCTATTTATTAAATTTGCTTGTTATCCATCTCACCGTAAGGTGACTCTGGGCAGTTTACAACATTAAAAGCAATAAATTTAACTCTGCTATCTCCTGAAGGACTGCAAATATATCTGAATTATATCTTTTTTATGCCATTTTATTTTAATAGTGGCTAGCTAATAATTCAGTTCCCAGATTGTCTTCCTAAAAACAGTTTGAATCCAGGGACATGTAAACCAGCTAAACCATCAATTATTAGCAGAAATATTTAACTACTGTTTCGGGTTTATAACACTATTCTAATAGCAAATTCAACCATTGTTTTAGGAGTCTCTTTTCATAGAGCCCTTTGCTCTAATTAAATTGTGCTGAATAATGATTTGGGCATCTATATCTATATCTATATCTATCTACCTATCTACCTATCTATCTATCTATCTATCTATCTATCTATCTATCTATCTATCTATCTTTCTATCTATATTAACTCAAGGTTTTAAAAATCTTAAAAATTTAAATTTAAGCAGTTTCTTTTGGGAAGAAATAAACACTTTTGTTCTAAAAACAGTAACAATGAATCACAATGAGACAATGTAACTGTGATATCATTTTATCTGTGAACATACCAAATGTTTGTAAAAGTTTCACCTCAAAGAAATTAATCGGATTACATGGCATCAAAGTATTAGTATAGTATATAAATATAAGACAACATAAAGGGCTTCTGGCACAGGATAGATTACACCTCACAAGAGCTGAAAAGAACATGTTTGGAAAACAACTGCTTTTGGCTTATCCAAAGGGCTTTAAACTAAAACTGGAATGGGAAGGAGACCAATCTTTAGGATCTAATCCCAACCAAGCATAAACCTCAAGGCAACCAATCAAGTTATGAAAAGAAAGGGAAACTCAAATATAAAATAGGGGACCTAAGAAGCAAATGCAGGGTCAGCAACAAAGGATTCAGATGCCTATACTACCACTCAAAGTATGAGGAGAACTTGAAGTCCCTTGTATTGAACAAGAAAATAGTCAAAGAAATTATCAGTCCACTAATGGAAGAAGATGGAAATGAGGTAATGGGTAGTACAGAGAAAGCGGAACTATTTAATTCATTCTTTACATCTATCTTTATGCAAAAGGAAAAAATAGTCCAACCTATCAAAAATAGTACCACAGAAGACAGAACAGAAATACAAATCAAAATAGGCAAGAAAATGATGAGAGAACACCTATTTATTTATTTATTTATTTATTTATTATTCAAACTTCTATACTGCCCTTCTCCTTTCGGACTCAGGGCGGTGAACAGCCAAAATAAAAACATTTATACATAAAGTTACAGTTAAAAATAGATTTAAAATAATTAAATAAATTTGGCCCGTAATTTAAAACTTGTCAATTTAAAATCCGTATCAAATTTTAAAACCAACCATAAAATCAAGACAGACCGGCTAACTGAAAAAAATAAGTTTTTAGGGCCCGACGAAAAGTCCAGAGGTCGGAGATCACTCGTATCTCTGGGGGTAGATTGTTCCAAAGGGTAGGTGCCACCACAGAGAAGGCTCTCCTCCTGGGGGTCGCCAGCCGGCATTGTCTGACCGACGGCACCCTGAGGAGGCCCTCTCTGTGGGAGTGAACTGGCCGGTGGGAGGCTATTGGTGGCAGAAGGCGGTCGCGTAAGTACCCCGGTCCTAAGCCATGGAGTACTTTAAAGGTGATCACCAACACCTTGAAGCGCACCCAGAAGTCCACCGGAAGGCAATGCAGCTCGCGCAGGAGAGGAGTCACATGGGAGCGCCCCGTCGTTCCCATAATCCCCCGCGCGGCCTCATTCTGCACCAGTTGGAGCCTCCGGGTGTACCCCAAGGGGAGCCCCATGTAGAGAGCGTTACAATAGTCCAGACGAGAGATGATGAGTGCTTGAGTCACCGTGCATAGGGAGCCCCGGTCCAGAAAGGGGCGCAACTGGCATATCAGGCGAACCTGATAAAAAGCCCCCCTGGCCACGGCCATCATATGCCCTTCTAAAGACAGCCGTGCGTCCAGGAGGACACCCAAGTTGGGGGCCCTTTCCGTGGGGGCCAATGATTCACCCCCAATAACCAGCGATGGCGTCAGCTGGATATACCGGGACGCCGGCAGCCACAGCCACTCGGTCTTGGAAGGGTTGAGTCGAAGCCTGTTTCTCCCCATCCAGACCTGCACGGCCTCCAGGCACTGGGACATCACTTCCAAGGCATCGTTGGGATGCCTATTAACTTTAGACGAGTTCCAATTGCCAGGACCAGATGGATCACATACCAGAATACTACAGACCAATCAATCTGACATCAATACCCGGAAAATCCTGGAAAAGATGATCAAGCAGCAGATTTGCAAGCATCTAGAAACGAACAAAGCTATTACTAGTAGTCAACATGGATTTGTTAAAAAACTCATGACAGACCACCTTATTACCTTCTTTGACAAAATGACTAAATTAGTGGATCAGAGAAATACTGAGGATGTAGTTTACTTAAACTTAAGTAAGGCATTTGACAAAGAAACAGTCTGTTTCTTGTAAAATAGAAAAATGTGGAACAGACAGCACCACCATCAAATGGATTCAGAACTGGTTGACCAACTGCACTGAATGTGTAGTACTCAATGGAACTACATCTACATGGAGGGAGGCATGCAGTGGGGTACCACAAGGTTCTGTCCTAGGCCCAGTATTCTTTAACATCTTCAAAAATGATTTAGGAGGAGGAGGAGGAGATCAAAGAAGTCATCAAATTTGCAAATGACATCAAGCTTCTAATATTTAGAAGATAGGCTCAAAATACAAAAGGATTTTGACAGACTTGAACACTGGGCCCTATCCAACAAAATGTGAAAAAAGGCCTTACACTTAGGCAAGAAAAACCAAATGCACAGGTATAAAACGGGTGGTATTTGGCTCAACAGTAGTGACTGTGAGAGGGATCTAATTGTCCTAGTAAACAAATATGATGCAGCAGTGTGCAAAAAAAGCCAATGCAGTCCTAGGCTGCATCAACAGAGGGATAGTATTAAGATCACATGAAGTAATAATATCACTTTATAATGCAGTAGTAAGACCGCACTTGAAGTACTGGATCCAGTTCTAATTACGATACAAAAAGGACATTAAGACTCCAGGAAGAGTGCAGAGAAGAGCAACAAAGATAAGGAGTCTGAAGGCTAAACTGTATGATGAACAACTGCAGGAACTAGGTATGTCTAGTCTAAGGAAGAGAATAACTAGTGGTGACATGATAGCAGTCTTCCAATGCTTGTGGGGCTGTCACATAGAAGAGGGATCAACCTATTCTCCAAAGCACTAGAGATCAGGACAAGAAGTAATAGGTGGAAGATTATCAAAGAGAACCAATCTAGAATAAAGGAGAAGTTTCCTGACAGTGAGAGCAATTAACCAGTTGAACAGCTTGTCTCCATAAGTGGTGGGTGCGCCATCACTTGAGGTTTTCAAGAAGAGATTGGACAACCATTTGCCCAGAATTGTTTAGGGTCTCCTGCTCAAGCAAGAGCTTGTACTAGAGGAGCTCCAAGACCCCTTCCAACCCTGTTATTCTATGTTCTATGTTTTTATTGGTTGCTACTCACAAGTTTATATTCCTTGCCATATGGATGGAAGGATGGATTATCTCTGTTTCCTTTTCAAAATTATAAGAAATGCTTTATTTTAATATTTTGCTTGTAAATTAACCATATTTGTTATTTTACATTTAAACCAACTTGTTAGTAAATTAGATAGGTCTATTAAATTTGGTAAGCAATGTTTTAAATATAATTTTATAATAATAAATTTTATAGTAATATTTTTTATTATAAAAATAGTCACTGCGAGTAAGGCAGTAAATAAATGTAATATATTATTATTATTAAATAAAATATTAAAAGATAGTATCTGATGCTTATTCAGCACCTCTGCTTTTATAGCTCAGTGGAATTTTATCAGGAGTTTTGCAACAATTGTTGAGGATTCACCATCTCTAACAGGAGTGTTCTAGTTCAAAGTTCAGCCAACAACCTCCCTGGAAAAGAAGCCAAATCAGAACTAAGAAGAGAAGTAATTTTACTAAACTGATAACTGGTTCAATTACCAGCTAGCTTCTACCTAGGGTAAAGAGCATTGAGCTCAAAGAAAGAAAGGCTTCAAGGCAGCTGGGTATGTTGACTGTGTGAAGAAAGGGAGCATGGGTTTTCTCTATCAGCAGAAAGCTAAATGAAATACTGGCATCTTTCAAGTATGTTGGTTTACAATTCTCAGCATATTGAACAAGTATTTTAGATGGAGTAGTAATTAAACTAAAATCAC